AAAAATAATAGTTATGAGTAAAATAAGAGGGTTGAGAATGGTGAAATCCAAATGAAATACAAAAGAAGGGGAAATAATATAAGGTGAGCGGTATCAATTGATAATTGCTATTAGAAAGAACAGGAAGCTCCTGTCCGTATTGTATTGTGTAAATGGGGTGTACATCTAAGTTTTTGTCTGTATTTTACGTTTGTTAATAAAAAAATAAAAAAGTAAGATAGGCAGACAACTAATTATTAAATAAACAAATGGTAAGTGACAGATTAGAGGTTGGGGTGTAGGCCACTTACTTTCTGCAGATATCTGAATTGTTGGAGAGCCACATAAGATAAGTGCATGATGGGTAATGGGGTGAAAAGGAAGGCATGGGATTTGGTGGAGTGGGAAAGCAAGCCCAAGACCCATGGAGACTCTGAGGGGCAGGAAGTACAGCAGAAGGAGGTGAAAGAGTTTTGGGAGATCTGGGGCAGGTAGGTTGGGCCTCTCCCACATCTGAGGTACTCCATACTCCATTTAACAATTCACATGGTCACTTAATGATTGCATCCCCAAAAGCAGTGAGATTTGTTAAATGAGGTGATCGTGATTTGTGACCATAATGGCAGGCTCCATTACAGTCATAATTCGAAGACTATATGTCATCTAGACTGACATTTGTGGTCATCCTAGTAAGTTCACCTTGCTCTATTGTACTAAGTTCAGAATCATTCACAGTTTTTTTTAGCTTGAGAAGTGTAAGTCCTCTCTTAAATTTCAGTTGCTGAAGCTTACTTGTTTATTATTATCATATCATCTAGTAAATTTTCATCCATCCATCCATCCATCCATCCATCCATTCATTCATTCTACATTTGTGTCCATCTCAAGCATATCACACTGGTGGCTAATAGAAAAAACAAAGATTATAAAAATAACAATCATAGAAATTAATATACCCCCCCAGCATAGGCAAGATACAAAGTTAGCCACAAAACCTGAGCAACAACAAAGTCAAGGAATCAACTCAACAAATGATGATTATTGTTATAATAATTTTACCATTAGTCTAGTCTTAAATAATTATAATTACAGCAATAATTTTAATAACAAAAAGAGACTGCTGCAGTTAGCAATAGCAATAGCATTTAGATTTACACACCACTTCACAGTGTTTTACAACCCTCTCAGAATGGTTTTACAGTCAGCATATTGCCCCCAACAATCTGGGTCCTCATTTTACCAATGTTGAAATGATGGAAGGCTGAGTCAACCTTGTTACAGATTAAATATATATTTATTGCCAGCTTTATATTTTAATCCAGTTCATATATTTTTTCTGTCTCACTTTTATACTGTATGTATGTATGTGTATATGTATGTATGTATGTATGTATGTATGTATGTATGTATGTACTCACCAAAGCTATTTCTTTATGAAATTTGTCTTCAAGACTGGAGATATTTTTAAATGTGTTCACATAGAAGCCCACGCGCCTAAGTAGAAATGACAGGTAAAGATTAAAAGTGTGGAAAGAAAGAAAGAAAGAAAGAAAGAAAGAAAGAAAGAAAGAAAGAAAGAAAGAAAGAAAGAAAGAATGAAAAACTGCTTATTGTATATGAACACAGCACATTTTATTCTTATTCAAAGAATCCTGAAAATGTAAAACACATAATTTACATGTATAACCTGAATGGGCAAACAACCTCCTTCTTTGCAAATTTCTAGCTTATGATACTAAACTTAAGTTAAGCTTTCTTTAGATATATTTATCTCCATAGTGTAGATCTCTATTGCTTGGGCATGCTCTACACCCAATGGACGTCAGTGAAGCAACTATGGAAGAACAAGGTTTGCCCTTTTGTTTTCATTATTTTTCTTTGTTCCCTCATTGAGTTAGATGTCTCCAACACTTAATGAAAATAAAATTAAAATTTAGTTTCTCAACAAGCTCTACTTTTGAATCATAGTTAAATAGTTCACTGTGCTAATAAGAAAATGACTGTTAGAACAGCCAAGTGATTTTTTCTAAGGGTACAAAGATGCCATTAAAAGATCATAGAGAAAAAACAATTTAATTTTTTAAAAGCTTTGGGGAAATAAAAAGATGAAGCACATAACTTTCCAAACAATATACCTTGACCATAAAGATGGTAGTTCTTCTTGCAAATCAGTGTTAAAATCTTCAAATACCTTCTGTGCTTTCTGAAACTCTTCTTCTGCCTACAACAAAGTGAAATACCTAGCAAACTTTTTTGGGGAAAAAAAAACAAAACAGTTCTGAACAATGCAACATATTATTCCTGATGGGATTTATTTGGGTTTGTACTCCTTTTAAGGACAAAAGCAGTCAGTCTCAGAACTTAATCCAGAGGTTGACTATGTTTTCAGATTCCAGGGACCAAACAAAAAGGGAAAAGAAAATTAAAGATTCTGCCAATGTCATGACAGCATTAACCTTGATGAAATTTTTGTTAGACTACCCGACATCTAATGAGATTGCAGCTTCATTGCTTTAAATCTGAATGAATTTAAGATATTCATTATTGAAAATTTTTAAATCTTTCTTAAATTGGTAATAATTTTTATTATATTGGGGTACATTGAAAGCCATCTGAATGTGACTCAGAATGTGAATAGCATGTTACTGGCTTGGTTACACTTAGCTGAAGTTGCTGAGTCTAGAGCCAAACCTAAATTTTAGGGATACCATACAACCAAGCCTTTAAAAAGAAAGAGAAAAAGTTACTGTTGTAAATTTCCTGATTCAGAATCACAACAAATGTGCAATTGTGCACGTATTAGTCACTTATCCCTTCTTTCTCCATTCCAAATCCCTTAAAATAAGTGGATGGCAATAAAACTTTAATGAGAAAATATCATTTAATGCCCATGGGAACTTTTTAAAGGAAAGCTTACAGTCCTACCAAATGTGATTTTCTTTCTTTTTTCTTGCAGGCAGAAATCATAGCTGTAAAGGGAAACATTAAGCTTTCCCTTCCAGTGTGCTATCATAAAAGCTATTCTCTTCACAGCTGTAACTATTTAAAACAGATCAGATCAAAATACTTTGCCTCCTAAGACTGCACAGCAAGTGATGCTTTTATTTCCATTATCAAAGTGAAGAGCATCTCAAGCCAATCATTTTGACTTCTGATATGGACATCTTGAAGCACATATCTATCCCTCCCAGGTACTAAATGTAACTGTAATTAATTAATCACTTAGTAGAAAAGTAGAGCAAAAATGAAGTGACAATCTGAAAATTTCCTCTTTTCTGTAAGGGAGAACCAGTCTTCTGTAATCTTATTTGAAAACTGGAAAAAAATCCCCCACAGATATCTAATTCACACCTATGCTAAGCTTTTGTGCCATTGAACTGTTTTATGAAGTCAGTTACATTTGATTTCATATGTAATGATATTTTAATATTACTCCAAGAGCTTTATCAGCTTTTGATAACATGTTGTTATTTGTAAGTGTTGTATTATAATTGTAAGTGTTGTATTATACAACACTCAAAATTTAACAGAGTCCTATTACCACTAGGATAGAAGATCACAAAGAGATTTCAGCAGTGTAGATTGGGCTGAAAAGTTGAAAAATAAATCAGAAGTTTGTTAAGACTGAATACCGTAATGTTTCTACTATGGCCAAGGAAATGGATGTACCAAATATAAGGGTCCTTTAAAAAGAAAAGACAATCTAATACATTTCGGAAGGACCTCTCACAAAATTACATCTGAATCTGTTTAAAGTTAGAACACAGGGATGTAACATCCACATACTGAATTTATTTCTAGTGCAATGGTGAAGAGAAAATGCTATTTTATTTGGAAATGCTAATCCCAGAGGCATGATCTAGATGTCATTCATGGACATCTTAATCATTGGCTATATGTGATATACTATCAATGTACTGCAACTAGTGAAATTTTAACATGATTAGCTCACATTAAGCTTTTATTCAATATATGGTTTACTCAAGGCTTTCAGGTAACCTCCTGTATTTCTGAATCAATATCATCCAGGATTTGTCTCTTGGCCTTGAGAAGCATCTGTCCAATATTAAGATAACAGTTCTTTCTAGTGTGAGAGCTGCTGGTTCCTATCTCACTAGCATCACTACTGCAATATTGGTGGCCCAATCAAATGATAAAACACAACTTAACAGCACTAAGCATAGATTAATGTCAATCACTCCCTGCATGTCTTGTAAAGAGTATATTGTTGTATCTCTTTCTCTCTCTCACCTTAGAAATTCTCCCTTCATCTTTTCTTTTTGAACTTTGCAAAGCTTCCAGATGATGTCTTGCACTATCATAGTCTACTAGCTTCCTGCTCCGCTTTGCAATGCGATTCTGTAAATAATGATATTCAAATCAAAAATCACAATCACAATATAATACAAGATATCTGAAAAGAACTTTTCTGCTTTAAAAATATTATGCGTTTCTTCCATCACTTAAAAATTAAGCCAGTGTGATGTATGTGAAATGGAACCAAGGTGTCCCAGATTCAAGTCTATTTTTACCATCTAGACACCTGAATGATCATTTTCTCTCTCCCTGTTATTCCTGGAAAAATTGTTGTAATGAAACTAAAATGATAAAGAGGCCCAAAAATGTACTTTTTATTAAAAAAAAACACAGGCATAGCGATTGTATTTTTCAAAGTGAAAAAAAAAAGTTTCAAAAGCCACAGACTTTGAACTTCTAAAATTCCATATATTTATTTTACATGCAATTTAAAACTTGTTGCTCCAGACTTTATTGAAAACATATGAAATCTTCTCCAAAGATTAAAAAAAAGAAACTCACTAAACTATTCAGAACCCAATTTTCAGCAATATGTATAAATCAACAAAAATAATCAAAAGAATACTCCAGCTGTTAAAAATAATGCTTTTATTGCAATTGCTCATTTGTGATAGGATTAAAACAGTAATAAAATATGCAAAAGAATGGAAACAAAAGAATAATCATAATATTAAAAATTAAACATTTAATTCTGAAATTAAATTCAAACAGAGCATCAGAATGTTTTAGCAATGAAAGGTCTAGGACCATAATAATAAATGCGAATGACCTTGGCAGATAGGAGGAAGAGTCACAGATTAGGCAATGATCAGAGAAGAAGTAGCAGAGCCCACAGAAGAAATAGAAGCATATCAAACATTTCAAAATAGATCCTATCTAGTTGGGATTGTAAAGATTAGGGAGGAAAAGTATATTTTCAGGCTTGCAACAATTTGAGGTACAGCTATGCTTCTTGCTTTGTTCTACTTCAAAGTACTGGTACTAGAAGACAACTTTATATTTATCAGATTTTTTTAAACACAAAACACAAAACACATTGACCATTCTTTATGATTGAATCAGATTGGTGAATATACTCATAAGCCAAATACAGTAATTGAAAGAAAATGTTCAAAAAATGTATTACTCCAAAGGTTAGAAGAACATACAGCAGTGTGTTCCTTGACAAAGGTATTTAGTTAACACACTAAAGATTTAGTAATCCTAGCACAAAATATATAGCAAATCCCATTATCAGTTTTGTTCCATGAATGTTCATGTATTTTCAAAGCTTCAATGCAAAATATTATTGGATAAACCAGAGGAATTGTATAGCCAGACCACAAATGATTTATTTGGATTTAAAATAAATCATCTTCCATTCACAAACACCCCCACCTCAAAAGAAATAAACAGTATATAAATCAAATTGTCATATACCATAAAGAAACCTAGTTTCAACTCTGATTTGGCTCAAGAGATAAATGTGATACACCTGGGACTGATACAACGGGTCCAGAAATTTTAGATTGTTATGTGAGTGGGGCAGAATCTCTGCAGTAATTTCCTACTCTCTGGAGTCCCAAGAATTGAGTAAACATCAGGTGCACTGCCAGTCTTATGAAATATTTCAATATTTAGTCACATCTGTGCAAAGGCAATACAAAACAATAAAGCCATTTGTGTTAATCCCACCTAGAATCCCCAGTCTTATCAACATTTAAGGTTGAGGGGTAAATTTCTAAGGGAGTGTCTTTTAGCTAAAGGGGTCAATACCCAATTCTTCTTGTCTATTTTCTGGTAATTAAATGTAAGCAGCTGGAAGAAAGCTTTTATAGAGTATTATGCTTTCCAAATAAGAGTATTTTTGCTTCTATTGCTAAACATTTGACTTAAGACACATAGTGGCATGCTATACCTTTATATCAGGAAACTGTCCCAAATATGTATCCAAAGTTAGTAATGACCCATCTACCAGCTTTTGGTGAAAATCTTCCCAAAGCACATCACATTTCTGTAGAGAAAGATGAAACATGCTGAAAATATGGATTTAAACAAAAAAATATATTAACACCTACAAATCCAAATAAGAATTTCTATCAATCCAACAGCCCAAAATTGAAAGAGAAACTCTGGTTATTTGAATTTTAATGACATTTATTTTCACATTGATGTACCTAATATCATCAAAACAGTGATGTTTTTCACTGTTTAGGATTTACCATGTTTTTTCAACATTAGTTCAAGAGAATGGAAAGTAAGGAAAATATTTAGATATTGCTTATAAACTTCCACATTCATTCTTGCCATATGCAAAACCCAAAATTCATTCTTGCCCACAATATATTACGTATAATTGAAAAAATTCTGCTCTCATTTTCCTAAGGAGATCGAAGTTTATCTCCAAGGTCACTTGTTCAAGCATCTAGAGTCACACTGGAGGATGCCTAAAAGCTAGTAAGTTTTATTAACTATTGTTGTATCAATTCTTTTTTCAGTATAAATAATTTTCAGTCAAATTGTCACCTAAGAACTTCAAAATTAGAAATACATTAGGATGCTGAGAGTCAATGACATTTTACATTTGTCCAAACATTAGAACATAATGCCTCCAGGATATATCTTAGTTGTGCATTAAATTGTTCTCAACAACTAGCCAATGGAAAAGACATTTTGGCACTACTAATCATTAGTAGTAAAATGATAGCTGATGCCTGTGAAAACTTGCTAGAAAGCTGATACAAATCACATAGCAACTCAGTAACCCTATACAGACATTATTGGTGTAGAACTCAGGCCCAACTGAAATACAGGAGCAGGATTATATTGCTGGCTTCAGTCTTCTTTTATAAAAAAAAACCCAATTTGATTAAAAATTAAAAATTCATTGCCAACGGGATCACAATTGATGATATTGGAGAAGGAGGAGGAGGAGGAGGAGGAGGAGGAGGAAAAAAGGTAAAAACTAATACAAACTAAAAACAAAGAAAAGAATAAAAAATAGAAGGTACAGAAAATAAAAATAGAGAAATAGAAAAAATAATATAGTAAAAAAAGAAAATATATATATAAAGCAATAACTTCATCACAACAAATATAAACAATTTTAGTAATTTATCACTCTTATAATAGAACTAATGATATCTTCTTTCTATATTTGAACTCTTATTATAAACAAATTCTTAAAGTCTCCTTGTTTCAATCCTGATCATGAAGTTTTAGTCCTGGTTATCAAAAGCTAAGTTTTACCAGAGATAATATATATATTTTAACCTTAATCAAATAAATCAACTTTATATATATCTCTTTTATTTTTAACAAACTTGATCTTTAGATAATGTCCTAAAACTTTTACATAATGTCCTAAAACTTAAATTCTTTTCATTTCTTCTGTCTCTTCTCACAAAATTCTTCAAATCTAACATTTTTTGCAATACACTACAGGAAAATAAGCTCTCATTTGTTATTTATATTTGAGAAAGTTAGGCAGTTCAAAAATGTGCAAAAACTCCAAATTAATAAATAACTAATATATACATCTTTTAATTACTAAAATATCAGTCAGTTTCTTTTCTATGGCAGAGTAGCATCTTTTCCCTTATCATTTTGTACCCTATCATTTTTAAGTCTACTGAGTTCACTTTCAATTTTGTCAGGTAAAACTTGTTTCTCTTCTATGACTTTTTAAAACATAGTATCTATAGAAGGAGTCATTCTTATATTTAACTTCTGTGTCTATTATTCAAAAATATAATGTAGTATGCCCCATATTGAAATAGTTTGCTTTACACTCACTGGAGACTACTGTCCTGCAATCTCCTCATAAGGAGCAACGGTCTGAAGCACTTGTGGGCAATCTCAAGTGTCTCCTTCAGAAAGAAATTGTGAAGAGCTGGTCTACTTGCTGGCTCTTTATTCTGCTTGCAGTAATCAATTCCACTTTTAGTAGAGCTGTCTTTGCTATTTCTTCTCTGGAAGTCACTACTGTATTAAATCTCAATGTCTGGCAATTTAACATGGTAATTAATACACAGGATATCTGGGGTGGATCCACACTGCCCCTTTATTTGCTTGTAGAGGCTTAGAGAATGCCCAGATCAGACTAATGGGTTATTATCTGCAATATGTGGGAGATATTTGCATGGTATATCAGAACAAGAAACTAAAATCCAAGCATGGAAGTAATATAATGGCTTAAAGATAATAATAAGCCACCTACACAGACTAAAATTAAGGCTCCAGAATAGATCCAACAGTAAAGTACAAAACTAAAGTTGATACCATTTCTTATAAAACACAGGAAGGGAGAATTAATGTCTCAGCAGTGATGTACTATAAATTTTCCTTTCAAAATAAAAGCCTTTAGGACTGAAACAACTTGAAGGAGAGGTGATGGTTCAAATCAGAAAATCTATAAGAAGCCACTTATAGAAAGTGCTGTATACCTGCTGAACTATGCACACATATTAGAACAATCATATTGAAAGGACTCCTCTCTTATGCTCTAGTCAAGACAGAACATTCGAAAATCTCTGACATTTATTCACTGATACTCCAGGTGCTGAAAGCAATGTGGAAGAGGTCTGCAAATCCTCAGTAGTAGATAAGATCTTAAACTATTCAGAGATGAGATACAAGGGGCATGAAGCTGGAGAGGAGAGGACTACTGGAAACAGATGCAGTCAAATCAATAATAATAGCTGCAGCCTGCTGGTTTTTTTTTAATGTTCTCATAGAATGAGTCACAAATAAGATGAGTGACTGCATCAAAGCTATTTAGTAAACACTTGGCAGTGTTTATATGAGTCTGATGCTTGGATTTCCCCAAAGCATAAAAAGCAAATATTCCATCCCCGCATTTGGCACTTGCAGAAAACTCTGCAGCTAGAAAATTGTGCCTTTATGAGGGAATGAAGATTAGTGAAATAAGATAAAAATTTAAAATGGAAGAATCAAACATAAAGAATCCATCATGAAGAATGAATACCTGATCGTTGTGGAAGTTGCAGAATAGGATTGATACTGTTCTTACTAGTTCATTCTGTGTACAAAGGAGGCACCTACCCAGAAATTGATATACTTTGCAAGATTTCACTAGACTCTGGACAGGCAGATAATGCAAGAGGATAACCATGTAAGTCAGCTGCATGGGGAAATGAGTCAAGTTAAAAAGGATTCCATTAAATGTGAGACTAAAAATAAGGCAACAAATGCAAATTAAAACTTAGCCATGAAGCTCATATTGCACATTTGGATCTAATCTCTATCTGAGCTGTGTTTGTTCACCATATTTCCTTAGCTACAGTTTTCCTATTCAATCCAATTCCTTGCAAGTGGAGGAACCTACTGTTTGACCCAGGTGGACTTGGGGAGTGGGACAGAAAGAGGAGCCTGAAGAACCGGTAACTGGAGTCACAATGAGGAGGCCCAGAAAACCAGCAGCTGATTGGCGTGGACCTGAAGAGGAAGATTTCATGATGTCCCAAGCCTCTTCTCACTTTGCTAATGTAATGCTCCTCTTTGTATCACTATGTTTATTTGTTTTTCTTGAATCCAGAACAACCTTTAGAGTCCTCATAGCTTTGGAAAAAAATTGTGTTATATGGACTCTAATACAAATAGTATACTATTTTCAATGGTATCAGGCTGATCTCCAAGACATCAAGCAACTCAGGCTCTTGTTTTCAACCAAAATCACAAAAAAGGAAGGAACCTATGATCTTCAGGAATTATATTCACAGTTGCTTTAGTGATTTTAAAGTACAAGTAGTCCTTGACTTATAAGCACAATTGAGCCCAAAATTAATGTTACCAGGTGAGAAATTTGTTGTGAGCTTTGCTCAACTTTACGACATTTTTGGCCACAGTTGTTAAGTGAATCACTGCACTTGTTAACTTAGTAACACAGGTGTTAAGTGAATCTGTGAATCTTAAAAGTCATTGTTTACTTCTCACATTATTATTTTTTAATGTTTTTATTTTTAAACATAAAAGACAACATATAAAAGTATCATCCATTATATACAGCATGTCATTTGGTTACAAGCGTTTGTGCATCCATATTTTCAATTATGTATACAATCAAAAATTTCCATCTAAGTACCTCATTTTCATTGTGATCATATATTCAATTACGGTTAATATTTCTTTCTTTTCAGCAAACCTAATTCCTTTGCATCCTTAGTTGTCTATTTAATAACAATATACCTTTATGTAATCACTTACTTCTCACATTAATTTATTGTGTCTATTCTAAGTACAATTCAATCTAAATCTGCAATTTCTTAAATAAATAAAATAAATTCTTACCTCACCAACCATTTTCACATCTTCTCGCCCATACCAATCAGGTTCATATACTTCATGAAGAGACTCTGTAAGCTTTTTGGAAGCATCTTGCATGCCTAAAATTTTGAGCAGAAAGAGTCTGTTGTTCACATCTGTAATCTCAAGGTTGGATTCCATTTCATCTGCCTTTATCGGTGTCATCTATGAACTTCAGAGATTCAATAAGGCTACGAAACAGGATTTTGTTAGGTTTAAGGTTTAAGGTTTTAATGGATTTGTATGCCGCCCAATCCCGAAGGACTCCGGGTGGCTTACATAAAAACAATTTTAAAAAATATTAAAAGATATTAAAAGAATTTAAAATACAAGACAAAGAGATTTTAAAAAGATACAACATGCGCTCAATCTTAGTGGGGCTGAAGCTCAGTCAAAGATCAGCAGCCCCAGGCTGCCGGAACAGCCAGGTCTTAATAGACTTTCGGAAGGCCGAGAGAGTGGGGAGGGTCCGGATCTCAGGGGGTAGATGGTTCCATAGGGCCGGGGAAGCTACAGAGAAGGCTCTCCCCCGAGGAGCCGCCAGATGACATTGTGTAGTCGATGGCACCCGGAGAAGGCCCACCCTGTGAGATCTTATTGGGCACTGGTAGGTATGTGGCAGGAGGCAGTCACGGAGATATCCAGGTCCTAGGCCATGTAGGGCTTTAAAAGTGATAGCCAACACCTTGAAGCATGTTCGGAGACCAATAGGGGGCCAGTGCAGCTCACGGAGGATAGGTGTAACATGGCTGTATCTAGGTACACCTAATATCGCTCGCGCAGCTGCATTCTGGACCAACTGTAGTCTCCGAACACTTTTCAGGGGCAGCCCCATGTAGAGCACGTTACAGTAGTTGAGTCTTGAGGTGACGAGGGCGTGAGTGACCATTTGGAGTGCCTCATGGTCCAGGTAGGTCTGCAACTGGTGCACCAGGCGAACCTGGGCAAAAGCTCCCCTGGTCACAGCTGACAAATGGTGTTCTAGCATCAGCTGCGGATCCAGGACAACACCCAAGTTGCGGGCCCTCTCTGAGGGGTGTAAGATCTCACCCCCCCAGGTTTAAAGATGGAATATCTGGACTATCTTTGTGGGGCAGCATCCAAAGCCACTCGGTCTTGTCAGGGTTGAGCGCAAGCTTGTTCTTTCCCATCCAGACTCTGACAGCTTCCAGGCACTGGCACATTACTTCTACTGGTTCACTGAGTTGGCACGGGGCGGACAGATACAGCTGAGTATTGTCAGCATACTGGTGGTATTTAATCCCGTACCAACGAATGATCTCACCCAGCGGCTTCATGTAGATGTTAAATAGAAGGGGGGAAAGGACCGAGCCCTGTGGCACCCTGTATTTAAGGGCCCTAGGGGTCGACCTCTGTCCTCCGACCAACACCGACTGCGACCTGACAGAGAGGTAAAAGGAGAACCAACGTAAAACGGTGCCTCCCACTCCCACCTCTTCCAGCCGCCGCAGAAGGATACCATGGTCGATGGTATTGAAGGCCGCTGAGAGGTCAAGAAGCACCAGGATAGAGGAATGTCCTCTATCCCTGGCTCACCAGAGATCATCGGTCAGTGCGACCAAAGTGGTTTCGGTGCAGTAACCAGGCCTGAAACCAGACTGAAAGGGATCTAGATAATCCACTTCATCCAAGGTCCGTCAGAGTTGGAAGGCCACCACCTTCTCAACAACCTTCCCTAAAAAAGGGAGGTTGGAGACTGGATGGTAGTCTTTAAGGATGGCTGGATCCAGAGAAGGCTTCTTAAGGAGGAGTCTCACCACCGCCTCCTTCAGAGGCTGC